AAACTGGCCCACGTGTGATAACGTCCTTAAGGGGCTGGGTATATTTAACCCGGAGAAGAAAAAGTTAAGAATTGATATGATAGATATTTGAAGGGATGTCATGTTGGGGATGGAGCAAGCTTTTTTTCTGCTGCTCCAGAGATAAGACAAGGAGCAATGTATGTGGATGTAAACTACAGGAAAAGAAAGTCCACCTAAACATTAGGAAGAGCTGTTCAACAGTGGAAGACGCTTCCTCTCCCTCGGAGAGTGGTGGAGTCTCCTGCTTTGGAGGTTTTTTAAACAGAGGCTGGGTGGCCCTTGGGGTCTCTTCCAACTCTATGATTCTGTGATTCTAAGATGGTTTGTTTTTCTCCTCTTTTTTGCAAAAGTGTTTAGGGAAAATGGGTTCGCACAGTTGCAAAGGAAGCTGTCTGGGGCTATTTCTTTTGTCACTGTTACTCAGTAGCAAAATTGCAAGCTTTTAATAAAAGCCAATATTGGGTATGGGTAGGGATAAATTGTGCTCAGCTGTGCAGTCCTGTGTATGTCTACTCAGAAGTCAGTCTCTGTTTGTTTAGTGGGGCTTACTTCCAGAAACATAAACATGTGATTGCATCTTGTGATAACATTTAGGAATGTTGGAGGCCTAGTCCACTGAATGGTTGTGAGATAGGAGCGAGATATGATCATATGTTGCTCACCCCATTCCATTCCATTCTATTGCCAATTGTATGCATGTTTTGTCATTTGCATTTCCCTGTTTTGCATGATCTCTAGCCTCAGGGGAAGGCTATGACAAACCTCCTCTGAACAAATCCTGCCAAGAAAACCCCATGATAGGTTCACCTTAGGGTTGCTGTAAGTCAGAAATGACTTGAAGGCGCACAACAATAACAGAGCTTCAGTGAAGCAGAGGCACTTGTTACCTGCTCAGAGGTTCTCTTGTGCCTTCAAGTCCTTTCTAACCTATGGCAACCCTAAGGTGAATCCATCATGGAGGTTTCTTGGCAAGATTTGTATAGAGTAGGTTTGCCATGGCCTTCCCCTGAAGTTGAGAGAGTGTGACTTGCCCAAGGTCACCCAGCGGGTTTCATGGCCAAGCCAGGAATCGAACCTTGGTCTCCAGAGTCCTAGTCCAACAGCTTAGGAGTACTTTCTTCATATTCTAAAACCAAAGTGAACAAAGTGCTTTCTTGGCTTGCACGCAGGTTGGCTGAAAAATTGGCCACGCAGGTCCCCAGCAACTCTAGCTCTCTTCTAGTTCTGGGGTAAAAAATACTCTCCTGTCCTAAATAGATCCCGGAGAACCAGAAACGGCTAACCACTCCACCTAGGAGCATCTAGGAATGGAGGAAATGTGACCAGATGTCCTAACTGCAAAGGAGGACCAGACTGCAAGATGTAGGATATTCAAGAAAAATGTGGGACATTACAAAATAAAAGCTAAGAACAATAATGTAAATATAAATTCTGCTTCTTAGTCATGCTCAAAATAGAGGACATTTTGAAATTCCTCCTAGACAGAAGGCTGAAATATAGGACAGATCCTGGAAAAGGAGTACATCTGGTCACCCTGAATGGAGGTAGTTGGCCTGTTCACCTTCTTGTAATATAATGGGTGGTGGAGAGTCTCCATGCTCCTAAATGGGGAGTAGTGTTGTTCTCTTTATTCCTGGAAATGTCCATGCCCTATTAA